AGACAGCATCTGGGTCTGCAAGTGCACCATTACCTGAGGGATGGTACCAGAAAAAGCTGAGGCTGTGCAGTGCAGCACTATGTTATGATTTTCAGTACATCTCCTCAGTGAGCAGGCCCTTGTCCAAGTTTTCCATACCGGTGCAGGTAGAACTATCAGGGTTATGTGCAATGGTAATCTAACTTAAAATCCCAGTAATTTCAATGAATTTTCTTTAAGTTGGATGCAGCACTCAGTTCAGCAGTTCTGGGGTAGAGAAAGAAGGAGATAAACAAACAAAAAGTGAGTAGTCAGTGATGGAGTGCAGACACCACATTGGTTCATAGACAAAGTGTAATTATAGCCAAAATAAATAATGAAATACATTGGACAGAACCTCATAGTCAGCTGTAATGAAATAGATGTTGGCACCATTCTAATATGTAATGTTATCTTTATATCCTTACATGAAATAAACAAAATGGCTCTACATAGCTGTTACTAAACAGAAAATACCTCTGTTTATCTGGATATATGATTTTTCAAATTGATCCCAACTCCCACTTCTTTATCTCCGTGCAGCAGCAGTTTGGAATGCTGATTTCATCTTTCAGCTATAGCAGCTTTGGTCTGTGACATTTCTTCAACACCCAACATTTCTTCCTATTCTTTATTTTCCACTGAAAGAGAATCTCATTTTGATGTACAGATATTTTTTTGCGATTGTTATTCAAGGCTTTGAAGATGTGTGTTTGAAAGAGTTTGTGCGTTTCATAAGATGCTGCTCCCTTCAGAACTTACTGTTATTGTTGCAATACATATCTCCAAGAGTTTGGCAATGAGGAAAAATAGCAACATTCAGGTTCCTCCCCTGTCTCCCCAACTCATTGCAGAAAGTGTACCTCAAGCAGGGCTGTGGTTGGCCTGGAATAATATAATATAATATAATATAAAATAGCCTGGAATAATCCCCTCAGTGTGACCATACTGATCCCACCTTACCCAGTAGCAGGAGACAGAAAATTCCTTTTTCCAAAGTGGGTGACCTGGCTGAAGTCATCTGTAGACCTCTTGCTGGCATGCAGTCTATCTATTCAGTCTGTTCAACTGTCCAGGTGTCTGGGTAATAAGAATCTCCCAGTCTCCATCTCAGAGCTAGAGATAAGACATTACTGGACAGGCAACAGACAAAAATAAGAGATTCTTCTGAGTCTCCATCCATGGAAACTGAGAAGGACAAGAGGAATATGATCTTCTAAGAATGTGTGTGTGTGTGTGTGTGTGTGTGGTCTCTCTCTTCCATTCTGGTTGTCAGGAGCAGGTAAGGAAGCTTGAGGCAAGCCCAGGAGCATTTGCCCAAGCTTGCTCCAGTAGCAAATGCCATTTCCCTCAGTTAAATGAGGTACAAACTAGCACAGGTCCATGGTCATGATGGATCTTGGAGTTGCCAGCTTAACTCATGGCTGCACTAGCTAAGCTGTATTTTCTCCTTTTGTGTCCATTGTCCCCAATCTGTTGTTTTGAACCTATTCTCAATTTTGCACTGAAAGTGATTTGCCTTTGATGTGCGTGTGCAACAGCACTGGTGTGTGATCAGAATCTGACCACTTCCCCTCCTCCCATCCTTTTCTTTTGAATCCCTAATCGATCTTTTCTCGCCGCTCCAAAACCCAGGCTGGGAGCTTTTTGAGTGAAAAGGGCTTACCAGAGGCACACGCTGTTCTGGGGTCATGCTGTGCTGTTTCAACACCCAGGCTGTGTGCAGCATGCTGAGTGCAACCCTCATCTAGCTGCGCTCCCCTAAGGACACAGGTGTGTTGAAAAGACTGACAAAGGACCCCGGGAGGGTCCTTGGCCTGTTGTTCCCAAGGGACTTGGACTACTTGGGGACTGAGACTGGGTTTGCTTTACTTTCAGTGGTGGCAGCTGGTAGGTGCTGGTGAGAACTGATGCACCAGACTTTGTGCCCTCAGATGGAGTCACCTGCAGAGGCCAAGTCACCCAGGGAACCGTCCAAAATCACTGGGGAAATAGACTTGCAGACTTCCCTTCCCTTGCTAGTTTTAGGGAAAGGTCTGAAAATATATAGATACTGCCTTGGACATTGGTTCTTTCTGTGAGACGAACAACAGCTGAAAACAGTTGCTGAAAGAGGCAAAATGGTACATCGAGGCCTAACGGAATGGCTGTCATCAGACTGTTGGGCTACGGCCCCTATTATGCCAAGGTAGCATGGTCACTGACAGAATGATGGAAGTGGTAGTCTAAGATATCTGAAGGGCACTGGCTTTTTGGATCACTAATCTTAGTCCAGGTATGGTTGATACATGTGTGAAAGCAAAAATCATTGGGCACTCCTCCATGGCAAAGAGGAGCTGCAACTGACATTACAGGCAGCCTCAATGCTGCCTTCAGAGTTCAGGCATTAACTGAAGTGAGGCCACTGCCTGTATTTACACTTCTGTAAGTCCTAGTTGCAAAGAGCAGCCCGACCTCTAGGCTGAATACTTATGATGATCTGTGGCACCTGTATAAGACACAGGTTGTGACACACATTGTCATATTTCCCTTATGACATGGCTGTTAAGGCAGGCTGGAACATTTTGTGAGCCGCCCCGAGGCTTTGTTGCGATGGGGGCGGCATAGAAATGTTTTAAATAAATAAATAAATAAATAAATAAATAAGTAAGTAAGTAAAGCTAAGACTGTCCACTGGAGATCTGCATGGTTCAATAAACTGCCTGGGTTTTCTTCCTGTCAGCCTAGAGGTTTCAAGCAGCAGGTTAGGCTTGACTGCTCTGGGCTTCTTACTTCTTTAAGTCTTGCGTTTGGTTACTCTGAAACTGTGTGTTCATTTGGCCAGAAAGTTGCTGGTCCACAGAGATCTTAGGCAATCTCTGACACATCCTGGCTGTTGCGTGTAGTTAATAATTAATGCAAAGAAATAGTTCATATGAGTCACACCAGCAGAAATCACAGAAATGCTCTTTTTATGTATAAAAGGATAAATAGAGCATTTATTAACACTTTTTTGCAGCAACAAAAGTGACACAGTCCACATCTTTTCACAGCAAAAGCTATGGCCACATTTTACATCACTTTGAGGCACAAAGCAAAATATATCATTGATCTTTTTTCCCCTCCAGACTGAAGTATGATTTACTTAATTTTACAGCTGTATAATAAGAAAAGAAGAAAAAACAATCCTCAAGTTGTATATTGCAGTAGCAGGGCCTTAAGATACTAGCACAATACAAGGAGCAGATCAAAAAATCCAGAATGGCTTTTAAACATACAATGATAGTTGTTCCATTGGAGCTGGGGAGATGGACACTTGATAGAGCATTAAGTGGTCTGGTATTACATGAAGTTCAGTGTTGATTCATCTTTTCTATTTTGCTGTTTGGAATGTGCAATTCCAACTGTCTCAAGGATCTATAACAAGCTTAACAAATATTAAAAGAGCATGCACTTAACAGTACATGGCACTTATTGCTTGGTACACTAACATTACAATTCTTGTTTAACAATGCTTAAAAACAAAACAAAACATCAGGCCTTGATGGAGAGCTCCATGTTCCTGGAGTCCTCACTTTCTCAGCCTTCCCTATCCACTTCGATGGGCATGGCAGGTCCACACACGTACAAAAAGAGGGGTGTGCTCTAAATTAATGTTCACTGTAGCAAACGGAAGCATGCACATACAGAACTTGAGTGTGCACACACGAGGTCCTTTGCAGGCATGGGGACTCTCCCTCCAAGCAAAGAGCTGCGGCTCACAGTCCACTAAACCTAATGGCAATGGTTCCGAACCTCGATGGACCTGAATTGCACTTGTGCAGTGGAAAATACACTCTTTCTAAACCCACCCCAGTTATATGGGCTCATCATGAAGACTGTTGCTTATATTCACTGTCCATTATAATTCTATTTCTTTGAAAGACAAATACATTTTTTTAAAATTTAGAAATCTTTAAAATAGCACTATTTTCTATAATTATACAGCTTCTTCAATAAACTATGACTTTATTTATATAATTGTGGCACAGCATCTGAAAATATGAAAAACTATCCAGGATTAAACAAATAGCTAATTTCTTTTCCCTTTCTTGCATTGACTTCAAAACAGGCTTCAAAAGAAATACATCCAGTTGGTTCTAGGGCTAGTGTCTGTGGTACATTTTTCTTTGGATTTGTTTGGGTGATGCTATCTTTCTAATGAGTCTTATGGCCAGTAATTTACTACAGACAATGAATATTCCCAATACTCCTTTTTTAAAAGTTCAGATTAAATGTGCTTCATACTGGTTGGTACATGTAAGGCAGAACATGACACATACAGAAAGTGCATGCATCTGCAAATAATAGAAATAAAATATTTGTGTCTAAACAATCCATGAAAACAAACAATTTCCTTATCACAGAGTAGTATGCAGCATATAAATACAACAAATATGCATCATGTCTTAGATTGTTCTGTAAAGTCCTGATTCAGCTTTCTGGAATGGGGATTGGATTTGGGCTTTATGGTCACTTAAAACAGAAGCCTTATTCTCCATGTACTTCTTGCCTTTGATCAACTGGACACTTCTTACATTGTACCAAGTAAACATGTGGATAACTCTACTCAATCCATTTTTTGCTTTCAATACAGTGTAACAAATATGTAAGTGCTTTTTTACACAATCAAGTAGTTTTGGCTTTCTAAACAAAATAGCTGATGTCCCAACTTGGTTGGTTGTGCTTTAATCCTTAGTCATGAGCATTCTGCTCATGTATACTGCAAGTTCCTAGTTTCCTATATAGTTTTGACCCTTAAAACTCTATAGAATGGAGACACCCAAATGGAAGTGATGAGATGTCACAAACTCATACAGATTGCACTTGATTTTTTTTTCATTTTACAGTAAGACCTTCTTGTCTGATATGTGTTTACATGTTTATATCACATTTTTGTGTGGGTGCAAACAACCACAATGAATAAAACACGAACACTACAAAATATATCCCATATAGGCGTGTTATGAATAATCTTCTCTGTCCTTATAGCTGTATGAGTTTTGTGCTTCTTCTTGTACAAATTCTTCTTTCTTCTCCCAGCCATTTGGCCAGCCACCATTGACCTGGGTTGTAGCACCGTATGATTTAGTAGTACCATAATTTACATAATTCTGAGTAATGTCCCCTGTTTCTTCAGCAAGTTCGTCTTCATGAATGAAGCCACATTTTTCTTCACTTGTCTGTTCCGGGTCTGCCCACGGTTGTTTCTCTCCCGAAGCAAAAATGGCATAGAATATGACTCCACCATAATGGACCAAAGCAGCAATAAGGAAGACATACTGCCACTCTTCACGTGTCTACGAGGAAGAAAACCACAGTATCACAACAGCTTCATGTGGAGATACAACTCCTCCAAACATAAACCTCTCTTAACAGCACTTACGGCAGACCAGCATAGATTGTATGGCTTGGCTTCAATTGCTGCAGTAGCGAACAACATCCCAAGGAACAGACCTAAAGTCTTCCACTCTGCTTGCAACTTATACACACATGAAAAGTATCTTATACTGAATGAGATCCAAGTCAGCGTTTCTCCTGGATCTCAGGCAGATGTCTTTCTAGGTCTTAATACTTGAGGGCCAAAACACTTCAAATCTGTTTCCAGCAGCTATGTCTTTTTGTTTTTACTGCAGAGTAGGAAAAGGGACTAAGTCTGGATGGGTACATTAGTGTGTAGTGCAGGGTGTATTTTAATAACTGAGCTGGATGTGTATTCTAGAATAAAACATTTAAAAATACACGGTCATTACTTATATACTTAAAGTGTATGCTCTAGCTGTCTAGGGACCCAATCACTGGGAATAGGTGGGATATAAACAACAACAGCAACACATCTTTTGCCCCTGAGATCCTTTTCACTGGGAATATCAACAATTGATTATTAGGGGCTTTTACATGTAAAGCATAGGCTCCTACTTTAACCTCTCCTGAAATCTTCCTCTATAGGACAAATACTATCTTAAAAATGTTGTTTCTACTAGTGGAAATTTCTGAAGGAAATGTTTGTAATCAAGAGCAGCCTTCTCCAACCTGATGTTGTCTAAGCATGTTGGTCTACAAATCCCTTCAGTCCACAAATGGTCAGGAATGATGGGAGCTGTAGTCCAAAGTATTATTATTATTATTATTATTATTATTATTATTATTATAACATTTCTATGCCGCCCCTTGCCGAAACCTCGGGGCAGCTTACAACACGATAAAATGCAATGAAATACAATAGCACATAATAATAAGTATCTGGAAGCATCATATTGAGGAAGACTATTCCAGGAACTTTTGGCATGAAGATGTCAAATCTGAGTTTGAGATTGTTCATTCTTTCCTATTTTTAAAGCAGACTTAGTATTTTGGAAGTATTTTGGAAAAAAAAGCACCAAAACTTACCTTGTTCTTTGTCATTGCTCCGACTATTATAGGACATACCATTCCAGACAGTGTGCCAACACCATTTGAAATGCCCATTAAGATACTGGCATATCTTGGAGCAATATCTAAGTGGTTAACATTGAATCCTGTAGGATAAAGGGAGGCTTATGAACTGGTCATCAGAGAAAGGGATGTATCATTTCAGGTTTTTGTCCCATTTAATTTATTATTTGATATTAGTATTGCATTCACAGAAAATTTTGCAATTATGACATTAATCTAAAACCAATTTTCATTGGAATGACACAGATTCTGGTACAAATTCAGTAGTACATGCATGGAAGTCCATCCACATAAAAGTAATTTCTCTTCTTCTCCCTGCAACCCCACCCCAAAATTTCCCTTGGAGGTTCTGGAATCCTCTGGGTCATATTTTGAGGATGTGCAGTTCCATCAGTGTGAGAACTTTATTGGATACCCTCCACTGAACCAAAATGTTAACTTACCAGATATAGCAAATCCACTGAATCCTACAGCAAGCACTAAGAAGGAAATGGCCACGCCTCTGCTATGAGAATATCCAACCACCAGGAGAAGAGTTGCTTCCATTCCAAAACCTTGGAGAAGTTTTTTTTAAAAAGTATTGGTATTATTCCTTCTGCACGACTGTCTTTTAAAAGCATGAGCACAGGATAGCTTTTAAATCAGAGCATTCATATCATTAACAAAGGCAATGAAGAAAAATATAAACCTACAGTCAGTATATATTCAAGTATTCTATTAATATGGAATAGCATTTGACAAAGGTTCCAGTAACTGCTACTATACATCCTAGAGAGTTATGAATCCCACCATATTTTATTTATATTGATTTAATTGGAATTCATATCAAAAATGTATTAGGCCAGAGTACACAGTCAATGAATGAAAAAGAAAACCAACTAAACTGTATAAAATAAAAGCTCATGGGTTGGATCCTGATTTAAGCTGGATGAATTGTGCTGGTATAAGTGGGCTTCCCATGGAAGCGCCTTCATCGTCCTGAAGATGTACACACAGTCAGAAGACACTGCTGAATGGTGAATACTGTGCCATGGTAAAGGCGGGGTGGGGGGGGGGAATCTCAGATATTGGGCGGATGACCTCCTGTTAGCAGAGCTCTTATTCTCATGCAAGGCATATGCCAGATCCAACCCCATATTGATACAAAATATTTATAGTAGTATATATAGTATACTATAATTATAATAGTTTGTATAAACACAACAACCCAACATGGTTCAATTTACCTGTTGGGTTAGTTACAATTTACTGGGTGCTTGAAGTCACCTGAGTTGCTATAGTGTACAAACCCCAATTTGAAGATCAGACAACCCTCAAATAACCTAAAGCTTACATTAGGCCTATTTGAGGGTTGTCCAACCCTTAAACAGCTCCTGCCACCTGGGCTGGCACAACATGGCATGCAATGGCAAATGGGATGCCCACTGGCGCCATGCAAAACTGGCGCCTATGGGTGCCTAGCCTGATGCAACAGCCTCATAGGTAAACTAACCCAAAGTGGATTCTTGTGCCACATGAAAAAAATAATAGGGTTTTTTTGTTATAGTTGATGCAGTTGATTGTCTGAGTAAGAAGAAAGGTTGAGCTAGAAGGAGCAGTCCCTAGTCTCATTGGACTCAGACTGTGTAGGAATTTAATGTCTAAAATAAGAAGCTTGCATTGTGAGTGGGGATGGTGTCCAATGTGATGCCTCAGAAGTGTCCGGATGTCCTTCTGGGACCACAGTGCTATGTTCTGCTCATGATGCACAGCAAAGCAGATGTTTAAACTCTTTGTTACTCTTCTTTAGGCAGTGAACAAAAAGCGAAGACCTCCAACAAATTAAAGAGCAGTGATGGCACTGGATGTGTCCTTTCGAAATATGAATCAAAGATGCAGAGCGCAGAATGTTTGTCTGGAGGATAAATTAGTTGAAAGCTTGTTCAGGCACTACCATCAACCCATCAACCCCCCTGGCATGATATCAGGAACAGAAGAACATGTTCCACAAAGCAGTAAGACTGGCACACAAGCCTTCTGCCATATACACATCCATCCAATTTGTGCAGTCTCCCCACTCCACCCAATGGCACTGGTTTGAAGTGTGTGAGTAGGTGTGCTCTGCCATGTAGGACTGACAGCTGGGCAAGTACATAAACAGGTCTAGGGCAACATCTTCATCATAGTAGCTGTAAACAAAACCCATGTTAGGTGCCTGTTGGAGTGTGAGAACCTGTTGTTCTCTGGTGCTTCACACTAAACATATACAAAGGCCTTTAATAAAAAGGAATGACTTACCTCCACAGTTCATTATCTTCCTGACAGTAGTGGTTGAAAGAATTTGCCTGCTCCTTAGAAAGTCTGCAATTTGGCCCCCAATAGGCACAATAATAGTCATCACTAAATGTGGCACTGCAGATAGCATTCCCACCTAAGGTTGCAAGAGGAAATGGCGTTCTAATCAGAGGTATTGATTGAGCATTTAGTGTGTGTGTCGGGGGATGTGGGGAGAAGGAACAGCAGATGAACAATTAGTGGCTCCCTGGAAGCACAAGGAAACGTACATAGATGGCAATGCACTTATGTTTGACTAAAGAAGGTCAACAGTGTGCAAAGGTGGGAAATTTGGTGCCTTAACTCCAAGGAATGAATTTGCCATCAACTCATAATAACGGAATCTTATTTCCATCTTTAAACATCATTTAGATTGTGAACAAGCAGCCCATCATAGCCCCTTTCCGCCAGAGCTGGCCCTGCATTACGCAGTCTCAGGTGGTCAATGCAGCAGGAGGAGAGGCGCTGGAAGACAGAGCTGTGTGCGCCACGTGGCCTGCCCTGTGTCTCCTAAGCCAGCCTGCTGCCACTGGGGACAGTTTAAGATGCCTCCCCAGCGCTGGTGTTGGAATAAACTCAACTGGCAACCTGGTCAGCTTCTGCACACAAAATGGGAAGAGGCACCATCTTGCCCTTCCCCTTACGCCGCAAGACATCCTTGGCTGGCCCCACCTGGGGCATCTAGGGCCAAATATAAATTCGAACTAAGATTTGGTCACTCCTAACCTTGCTAGATCAGAACTACTTTTGATAAGCTCTCATTAAGCTGCTTCAGACACGATGTCCGAGCACCTGAAGGTCAGTTAATGGGAGGATTTCATCAGGAAGGAACCTTGGCGTAAATCCTAGTGCATGATGATGCCTCCTTCTGACGGTGCCATTGTGCCAGCTGGCTGTGCGTGTCCACTGCCCACTCGCCATATTCAGCATAGCCCTCGCAAGGCACACCAGGGTGAGCTGCCATCGGCTGGATTTCAGCAGAAGTCCTTTGGTGGAGGAGCACGCACAAGCGGGGCTGGCTCCAGGTTTGGGCAATGTGTCCTTTGGTGGGCCTCCTTCTCTGTTAGCAATCTTGGTGGGCTCGCCTGGCTGCACTGCGAGCCGCACTGGGCAGCTGAGTCCAACCACCAGCCCTAGAGCTACATTTGATAAGGGACACTGGGAGAAATAAAAAGTCTGGCTGGAACCGGCCACCTGGTGCTGTCGGGACAGAATAATTTGTAATTATTTATACAGGAATAATTCTCCTATGAAGCCATACCATTTAGGAGTTCCAGTCACTTTAAAATAACATACATACCTTGCTTATTTCAAATCCAAACACTTCTTCAAAGTAAGCGGGCTGACTAATAAGCAGCAGGTAAAAAGTCCAACTTCTGCAGAAGTTTGCAACAATTATTGCATAGACTGGCATAGAAGTAAAAAACTTTCTCCATGGAGTCTTGTATTTCTGAAACAAAAAAAGCCCAGTTTTATTGGTTTTCGTGCACTTTTCTTTATTATGCATGCCAGCTCAGGCTTTGGGTTCTTGTTTCGTTCTAGCTGCAGCTGCACACATGTAGCAGAAAATGCCAAGGCTTCCTGTTGAACACGAGGGAAAGATGAGTTTAAACTAAACCACGATAGAAGTTCCATAAAGAAGAAGCCCCAAATGCACCTCTGTGTTATGTTGCTTTTCCTATAGCAGGGGTAGATAACACGGTGGCCCAGCAAATGGCGAGGGGTGATAGAACTTGCAAACCAACAATCCTATGATCCCCCAACACCGCCCCTGCTCTTTGCCACCCCTTCCTACTCTGCTGGCATAGAAAGGACAGGCTAGGAGCTTCCTTGTGGTCATAAGCTGGCTTTGGCGGGGAGGAAAAGGGGCATGCCAAGGAAGCCAGGAGGGGAGGACCCTGGCTGACAGTTTGTGCTCCAGCCTCCTTGTCACTTCAGCGCAGTGGCTGACAGGAGCTGTTTAGATGAATGCAGGGGGCAAGGTGCCAATCCAGGCATGGTGTGCATGTAAGCCCCTAAATTCAGAGTCTCATGGGCAGAGGGGGGCACTGAATTGCAACCTAACGTTCTGGATTAGCAATGGAAATGCAAACTGGTATATAAATACTTATGGTGCTTTTTGAAACAATTCCCCAAACTGCACCCCAACCTTCCAAATAATACCCCGGTCTTTTCCAGTTTACTTGTACAAGTTGTGATCATAAAATCACAACCAGCATTTTAAAAGAGACAGAGTTCATGGTTTTCTTAGCTGATATTGTTGGACTGACCTTCCAATTGTTCACTGAGACTCCCATAGAAGCTTAAAAGAAAAAGAAAGAAAAAAAAAAGCTTTCAAGATGAAATTGACCTAAGGGGTTGCATAGACTTGTTTCTGGGTTAGGTGGGTCCAACATTCATTTTCATCTCAGCCCCTGGCCATACTATAATCTCATTTCCCTGGATGGCAGGACAGAAGCACACGCAGTCATTGAATCCTTACTTCCATGGCTCCTAACAAATTGGCGCTCTCTCCAATGCTCTCTTCTATATATCTGCGTTCTTCATCTGAAATCGTAGGATGCTTTGCAGGGCTTTCATAGGACACCAAAAGCCAAAACATGTACCAGAAAATGCCAAAACTTCCTGTAGAATATAAAGGAAAGATGGATTTAAACAATGTTAAAGGGATCTTTAAGAAGTCAAAATGCACCTCTATGTCATCTGGCTATTTTTGTTGCTTTTCTTATTTGGCCTTGCAGGTATGGCTTCCTGAGCCCTGGTTGACCTAGCAAATGGTGAGGGGTGGTAGGACATGCCATGCAGCAACACCTGAGGAGACACAGGTTGCCTTGTGGAGTCCCTCTCAAAAGGACTGTATCCTCTATACACCCATTGTGCCTTTTATGTGCAGCAACATTAAGGAAGGGATATTATGAGAAAAGAACATGGTGGCTATAACAACCTGGAAAAGAGGCATAGCACCATGGATGGCCCCATATGAATTCAGACCACAACTCGGAGTAGATACACGGACACAGGTCTCTGTACTGACTGAACAGCAGGTGCAATTCTGCAGCATTTTGGAGCTTATTCGAAGGAAAGCCCTTAACACAACTTGTGGAAATGTGTTTTAAAATCTGAATTTCCTTTTGGAGCATGCACATACGTAGGCAGCACTGAGAATCCTATACTGTAAGCTTAAATTTTCAAATCTATACTTGGGGTTATTGGGAGCCAAGAGGGGCAGGCTGGTGAAAGGAAAAACCGCCCTTCTGTAGAGCAGGGTTTAGAGCTGGGTAGCTTTTCCCCTTTCTCCTTGACTACTGGTCATGCTACCTGGGCTTGACAGGAGTCAAAAGCATTTTGTGTTTCTTCTCTTATATCAGGGGTAAGTAACTGGTGGCCTTCCAGAATTTCCATCAACCCTCGTCAGGATAGACAGTGACCAGGGATGATAGGAACTACAGCACAACCACACCTGAAGTCCACAAGTTGCCTTATCTTACAGATTCACTCTTAAAAGGACTGTATTCTCCACACACACACAAACTACTAGTGACCCTGAGTTAGATGGCACACCCTTAGATGAGGAGTGGGGAAAAGTCCCTGCAATAGGTCATTGCAGCTTGGACAGAAATGCACAAACAGCAATATATTGCTATATATTTTTCATCATTTTCCCCAGCTATACACTAGGGGTATACCCTGACCAGAAGATTCAGTTCAGACCCCAGCTCAGCAGTTTTGAAAACAGCCCTGTAATGGCTTTGAGAGATTGGGAAACTACCTGCTTCAGCTTGGCTGCTGGACTAAACTTGGAAATCCAAATCTTTATGCTTTCACTTGTCTATCATTAGAAATCAACAAATGAAATCATCCTTTTTATCTGTATGTCAGAAATGGATGAAATCTGCAGGCACAGCAGTCCCTTATAGGAGGCCTAAGTCCATCATATTTCTGGTGACTATATCCTCTTTTAATTATCAATAAATTTATTGGCAAACTTCAGGGGTAGCAGAACTTTCAGGGATAGCAGCGCCTTCTGAATTGATCAAATCAGAAAAGGTGTAGAATCAGATTTCTGTGTGTGAAAAGCAGCCTTTACAGTGGACGGTGGCGGGGGGGGGGGTCCATAAAGGGATGTCCTCAGCCCCATAATTCTTGTGAACAAATGTTATGAACATAACATATGGCACAGAAGTGACCCTAATTAAGAAACCAGAAAAAAGGCAGCATTTTGGAATGGAAGGGAACTGTTCATATTTCATTCCCCCGTCACCACCCTCAATGTTTTTGTGGGCAAAGTAGATGAAGATTGTGTGTCACAGAGGCAACCCTAGGCGAGAAGCGTGCAAATTTTCAGAAAGATACATGCAGGGGCTATGGAGTGATGCTGAATGAAAAACAGTTTCAATATTTTTGTTTTCTACTCAGGTGGCCCTAGATCATGGAAAATGAAGAATGCAGAGCTCATATTAGCAGAACATCCAGAATTTTCCAAGCAAGTGCCCAATGGAATTCCCTTAGGATCCCCCAGATGCCACCAAACCTCTTTAGCATTGCTGCTCCTAGGAGGGAGAACCAACAAAACAGCACTAGATAAGTCTGGAGATACATTAATTCATCCTGGGACTGAAGACTCTGGTAAAACCATTCACTTTGATTTGAAAGTAGAGCTGCCAGTCACTCCTTTCCCCACCTTCATGTTTGCCTTATATGGAAAGTCTTGGGGAAAATGAATCTGTTTCTGGAGACACCTTGTGCATGTCTTCGTGTCCCTCCAAATTCCAAATCTTCAGGAGTGTTCAGATTCAGAATCACTCCCCTTCAGAAGAGCCCCACCTTGATACAGACATCTCCCAAACTGTCAAAATCAGCCCAACTCGCTTCTGGTTTTGGCCCCATCTAAATCGCACGTGTACTATAAATGAATTATTGATGCAAGCCTAAGAAATTTCACCATACCAAGGACAAAAAACGCATCCCACATCCAAGCCGCGGCATGGTGTCTGACAGCATTACGGCCTTTCGCTCTAATTTGCAGATTTTGTGCTAATTGGAAGGTTGTACAGCAAGGTAGACACAGGTGCACTTAGCATCTTGTTTCGCTGACAACACCCAGGCAACATGTTGGCACTCGAGTCTGTGCTGTGCAGTAGGTGGTAAGCAAAAGAACCGGTGTTAATTAGCACAGTGTGACTATCCTAAATTTTCCTTCCCCGTCATTAACTCTGATGCACGATTCATAGAGAAAAATGGTTTTCAGTCAATACTTTTTAAAGAACTTAACACAGAACTATGAAGCATGCTTACTCCCCTATCCAACATGTTATCTCCATGCATTCTTATTTCATTAACTAACTAATCAATTAAACTTGTATTCCACACTAATCATTCCGTATTAGTAGAGCTCTTTCATTACAGTATGCTCATTTCTATTAGCTGCATGTTTTAGATATTTTAGATATTTTAGAGCTGGGAAATGTACAGAAAAGGGAAACCAAAATGTTAAAGGGACTAGAACGTCCTTAAAAGAAAAGTTACATTTGAGGCTTTTGTTTTTAGTATGAAAAAATGCCACATAAAGACATGATAGCATTTATGAAATTACACATGGTGTAAAGAATGTTGTGCTAGACCAGAAACTTCATGTCTAACGACACTAATGAAACTGGAGTCATCCAATGAAACTGAGTGATGGGTGAGGACAGCCAAAAGGAAGTATTTCTTTACATGGTGCATATTTAAACCCTGGAATTTGCTTTCACAAGATGTGATGGTTGCCAGCTTTAAAAGAGGAACGGAGACCTTCATGATGGATATTGTGATCAGTTTGGGATATGGACAGGTTTGGGATTAAGTCCAAAGCCCAGTTAGGATCAGCCGTTTCAGTCCAGTTTTGTTGCATCCTGAACCGAGGCAGGTTTCATTCTAAAGCTGACATATCTGAACTCACTCCAGAACTAGTGTCATTAACTACTCAGTGTCAGACGTGCAGGAGACAATGAGGCTTGCCTCCTGTCTCCTGTCAATATAGCACCTTCAAGTTGTGTTTCTAAACCACTGAGCAGGTGGAGGGATTGTGGAGGATGGAAGACTGACTGAGGAGGATGGATTGGGTGAGTGATAGTCCTCTTTCTGGTCCTGTGACATTTTCTACCATTCTGCTTTAAGGGAGGAATTGTGTTTCACTGAGTCTTTTCATAAATTTATTGCTTCCTTCCATTTCTCTCATGTTTACAGTGTGGTTTCCTGGGAGTAGGAAGTGAACTGATAGACTTTTCTTATCTACTTGGATGGAATAACTTGGCTTTGAGTTTTGTTTATTCATGATTTCATTGTTTCTATTGACTTGGCAGTCCTGGTCCCCAGAAAGCAGGCATCTATCCCTGCAGCATCCAGTTCTGCCAAGAAATAGAAATATTGTTGGCAGTTCATTTTTAAAAATAATCAAGACACAGAAGTCTAGTACAAAACCCCCTGCACCTTTTTTTTTCTGATATTCAGGAAACATAATGTTAATTATTTATTCTGTTGATATTCTGTCTTGCTTTTCTGGCAAGGAAACGAAAGCAACTTACATGGCCTTTCTCCTCTCCATTTTATCCTAACAAACAAACTAGATTAAGCTGTCAGTGAGGGACATATGCCATGAAATGTGCTTCTTGGTTAAATGGGACTAGAACCAGGTGCTCCAACAACCTAACATTCATCCAGCACCCTGACCACTGTGCCACAACCGTCTCTACTTCTGCCCTAGATCTGGGTTCTAGCTTCCATTCAGTCATGGACCTCATGGGATGATTTTCTCAACCTATCTCATGTCGCTGTTGTAAGAATAAAACGGAAAGGCGAAGTTTATACCTTAATGGACCCTTAGTTAGTGGTTGTGTTAGTTCCATTAATAGCTGGAATGAGCTGAGTTTCATTGCTTTATGGATCCTGCCAGCCTAGACTCATCTCCAATTTCACCACTTAGGGATGGTACCAATTATGTACTCCTCAGGAGAAATTTCATACTCAGTCTGATTTCCTCATGCCCCTCTTGCAGGACATTTCTGCTTCTAACAGCTGCAGAACATGTGAAAATTCAAGGATGCACCACCGCATCACTGTATCTGCATGCAGGAAATTCTCTATCAGTTGGATTTTTGCCTGCATGCAGCTGTTAAAGGCACAGGAAATCTGCCAGAAAAAAAGTAGAACCACAGACGTTATGAATTAAAAACACTTTCCTCAGAAAACATAAAAAGGACATTCCTGAAAGGTCCTTTTCCACACACACTGAGACCTTTCCATGCTGCCCACTGTAATTAAATTTATTTCAGTAATGATCAAGCCTGGGTAAAGAGCTAGATCATGGTCTTCAGTTCAGCTTGCCCTGCTTTACACTGAGGAAAGTGCAATGTGCCTGAGTCACAGTCCTCATTTAGGCCTAATTTAGCAGTCTGAACAATTCTGCTGTTCTGGAAATTATAATACTTCTTTGTGTGACCTATTTCTCTGCTGCTTAAAACCCATTCTGAATGTTATTCCCCTCAAAATCCCCTCAGAGCTTTCCTCCTCCTACTTTGAACATGCTGTACAAGATCAAAGGGGCTGCAGACTGAGTCATATTCCAGGGTCCCACAGCCATCTGTTCCTTCAGCACTCCTCTTTCATATCCACGGATAATGACCCTCATTCCACATAATTCAGGACAGTTTCATTGTTACAGGAGAAATACACATTGAATCTTGAATGCATTTGAGCTTTTTCAAAGGGTTCAAACACTTTATCACATAGATTACACTGAAATATTTGACCAGTTGTATACTGACAATGTTTGTCCTCTATTAGGCTGGAGCTGGGAGGGGGTCAGACTGACTGACCCTTTCTGACTCACTCTCTATGTTTCTATTAAGGAACTGGTGCCAACATCTGATTATGATTTTGAATGGCCTCTGCATAAGATGGCCATGCATCCTACTTTGCAGTGGAAGATCCTTTATTTGAAGGTCTTTCAGATGATAGCCAAGAATCTTCTATGTGAAGGGCATCTAGGTCCAAGTCAGCTTTAAAGACAATCATCCCTAAGAAACCTAAGAAAGGAGTGCAGGGACCTTGAAGGTGCCCATCAACCCTTAGCCCTTGCTTGGTAGACTGAGAAAACACACTGGTCACAGGTCCCTAATTTGGTGAGATATATTGCCTTGCTATTTAAATCATAGTAATCATTCATGCATATAAATTAGCACATGCAATTCCATGTCCCTTCTGTTCCTCTCTCTCTCTCTCTCTCTCTCTCTCTCTCTTTGTGGTGGGGGGATACATGTCCACTTTATTGCAATACGTAAGTAGCCATCTTACCTCTGTGGCTAAAGAGACATTAGGTCTAATTTAATGAATAGGACTTTATATGAAGTTTGACAACCATCGCCCATGTTCTTGTAACCTCCAGGCTTGCTACTAAGGGCCAAACTGGAATGTTACCATTGTAGAGAAATCCAAAGCTATAGCTGATGCAGAAGCCGACCGGCCATCTTAGTTTTGGTGACAAACCAGGAGCGTATAATACCAGACTTATAGAAATGGCCCTGTTGGTTTGGACCTGTAAAGCACTCCAAAGCCAGACTGCCTTAGGATTCAGATGATCCCCAACCTCATGTATGATCATCAATGAAAGACCTAGTATGGAATGTTGTTTTCCAAAAACAAAGCAACTTTTGGGGGAGACATTTTGATCTTTCTGTTGTATTATAAATGCTATTGATTTTAGCTGCTGAAATTATATACTATCTTTTTATTATCCACATGTATTTCAGCTTTAAATGGCATGTGGTATCTTGAATTAAGAAAAACTGTATGCTTTTTAATAAATAAATCATCATAATCCATCCAAGAGCTCTGTAAAGTAGGACAGGGCCATATAACAGATGAGGTTGGTGGCACACTGTGAAAATATATGCTTTCCTTAAAGCAATCCAGTTGACTACTGACTGAATTGGATTATAAAGTAGAAAGAAATCATGATCTTAATTCACAATCTGAATTACTAGGGTAGAGGAGATGGGTAGCATGTTCTGTGACATGGGCCATGGAAGCTGAAATGAATTTGAGTGCCAGTTTTGATAGAAGATAGAAAGTCCGGTTTGATAGATAATAGAAAGGCCAGATATAAGTTTAGTTAATAAATAAAAAACATGATGGAATGTTAAAGGAATTCAACTAGGCAGCAGTATGATTATTCTTCAGAAATAGGCACCATTGCCTACCCTAGAATAGATGTCATGTCATATCATGTCATTTCTACTTTTTCTATAGATAGATAGATAGATAGATAGATAGATAGATAGATAGATAGATGAGAGAGAGAGACTGGAGACTGCAGCCAAGAAATATGAAGAGGACTGAGACTTGGAAGGGGAGCGATGAAGGAACTAGAGAAGAGCAAGAGCAAGTGACAACTTTTACTGGAGTCCAAGTTCAAGATCATCCAAACTGTTGTGCTTTCCAATCACTATATATGGGTGTGAAAGATGGACAATGAAGAAAGCTGATAGAGGGGAAATGATGCATGTGAAACATAGTTCTGGAGGAGAGCTTTATGAATACTGGGGACCAACAGAAAAAACAAACAAGTGGATCCTAGATCAAGCTACAGCCAACAACATTTCTGCATTAAGAGAAAACATCAAAGAACTTGTAAGAAAACAGGTGAGGGTCATGTGTAAAAGACAACACCATCTAAGCCCTAGGAACTTCCATAAATAAGGCAAAGTAATGGCACTGTAAACACCTCATCTGATCAGTCTTAATTAACATTCCAACATTGAATTTTAAAAACTTATTTATTTGTATCAGTCAGTGTCAACCCATTGGTTGTAGCACCAAGAACTGCAGAAAAGGAGACTAAAACCTTTTTATTTGTTATTTTAAAAATTAGTATCTTAATGTTTTAACAGTCACTTTTGGTTTAATTTATTTTACTGGTTATATCTTATTTATTATACTGTTTTATTGTATTTTGATTTTAATGATTGTAAGCCGTCCTGAGATGCTATGCATAATGGACAGCATATAAAAGTTTAAAATAAATAAAATAAAACAATAGCCTCTCTTCTTGTCATGCTAACAGAAGTCTTTGCTGGATCAAAGAATGGAATGGCATCAGTCAATACAAGCTACATGTTTACCCCAAGCTTTCTCCAAGGAACATTGGGCTGAATTTAAAGTTCCTCCTTCCCCCTCATTTATCCTTATAAGAACTCTGTGAAGTGAGTAAGACAGAGAGATGGAGTGACTCAGCATCACCCAAATAGTGCCATAACGAACTTTAATCCAGGTTTCCCTAGTTCAAGTTCAATATTCTATCTTGTGTGGTGTCTTTCATATTTTCATGGTCATCTTTCTGGATTTATCAGAACAATCATTCTCATGAGTTCCAATAATCTCTAACCGTGTCCTAAAGCTATGATTATAAAGCTATGATACAAGGTGAACACAGAATATCATACCATACACATAGAACACGGACGACCATCCAGTATATTGCACCAAAATCCCAGCCAGTGGCATTGCAATGACTGCACCTGCATAGGAACCTGGAAAAGAAGACAGCGATTAATAAAACAGAAATGCTTACTGAGATGGCATCAGGGCTTGCAATAACTTGGTTTCTGTCAAAATTCATGAGTGCCAGTGCAAAGTGCAAAGCATCTATGCTTTTCCAAGCTACTGGAGAAAAGTTTTCATTGATACCCTCTGAACAAAATGACCCAGTGAAGGAGGTCTCTGTAATATGTCGGATTTTGTTTTTTGTCTGTTATTATATATGTTGTTTAGTTATTGTTCTTAGTATTGTAAGCTGTCCTGGGACAATTTCCATGTGGGACAGACTAAAAATATTTTAAATAAATATTTTAAATAAATAAATAAAATTAATGATGCCATCTCACAATTCTGGAAGAAGCCCATCAAATAAAGCAATGGCGAACTTGTGCCAACTATTTAAGAAACTACTTTTGGTTCCATTTGGATTATTTTGACATTTTGGAATGTATTAGATGTATTAAAATGGCCGTCCAAATGTTCTACTCATTATTTAGTGCTACAGTCAAAATATCTTTAGAAATACCACTTCCTCTGCAGCTGTAAATTGATATTTGGATACTGAGGAAACACTTAAATTACTGCTTCACCACCTCAAGATTTAATGCAGCCTGACAAAGAAATCCACATATTCTTCTCTGAACCATATCTCTAGCATCAGGAATAAGTTCTCAGGTTCCAAATTTTTGTTCACAGATTGATAAGCGTGAGCTTGCTGTGTTCTAAACTCTCCTCAGTGGAAGCAAATCCCACTGCAATCAGTGGGTGTGAACACTGATGATGAACTGGAGGGGGAAAGTACAGAGAATGCTAGAGAAATGTGAAAATAAGGCAATGAAATGGGAAGTTGTTACTTACCACAGAAAGAAGTTGTTGCTAGTCTACTTCGCTCTAGAGGGGGTGCCCACTTGCTCCATATTCCATGGCAGGCTGGATAAGTTACACCCTGTGGAGTAAGTTACTCAGTTTATATCTCCTACAACTAATACAAAATTAAATTGTTTTGGGAGTAAGCAGTTATATGGCATGAACCTGAGTTGCATGAAGTTTGGGCACATTTGTAAGTTATGCCACAGAACAAGGGGGATATTTATCCCTAGGCTTTTATTTTTATTTTTATTTTTTTATTTTTATTTTTTTATTTTATTTTCAAACCCCCACTCCCTGAAAAATACAAATTTTATGAATTCAGCACCCAGGCGGCTCCTTGCAATACATGTCTAGGCACTTTTTTCCCCCATTTATCCTGCTGCATTTTTCTCCTTCCTTAGTTAGGAACATGAGTTATCACACTGAGGCCAAGATCGTGAAGTGAACTGAGTGATGGCATAACAGTGAATGTTGGATAAGTGATTCTGATGTCACTGAAGGAAAGTAAAGACAATGGAAAATAAATGGTGTAAACTGAGAGGCAAATGGCTATGTAAAGTGTGAGAAATCATTACAGTCAAGATGGAGGGATTTTCACAAAAAACTGTGAGCACTTTCAATGAAGCCTTAATAAGAACATTAGTCTTTACATGTAAGAAACACATGCATTTCAGCGTCCATCCTATCCTGGGATCACATTCCATTGAATTCAATAGGACTTCTAAGCAGACATGGACAAGGTTCCACTGTCAGTTGTTATGAATACAACCTGAGGTGACAGCTCTTTTATCTGATATACTTTTGAGCAGGCATACTATCTTGCCAAAATAACACATGAAGGATTTTCTTTTTTAATGCTTTTTTATTTTAGAATCTACATTATGCTGCTTCTGTAAGTCAGGATCTGTTCATGAACATATGTTGCCTTGCATTTCTAAAATCTATTGACTACTGGTGTTCATAAGACAACAATCCAGTTTTGATTGGTGGCTGGCCAATCAAAGTGCAGATGATAGCCAATATTAACTGGTGCACTTCTGAGCTAATGGTCATGAGGAAAAAAAAAACATTCATTGATGACTGTAAACATATTCTTGTGTAAATATTGGAACATTCAATGTAATGTGCACACATACACAGAGTTTGCAACCCAAAGCGGGGGGAGTCTCAAGAAGGAGATGGCACAGCCTCCCTACCTTTGGGGTCTCATTCCTCCCAAACTTTAAAAAGCATTCCAACTGTTGTTGGCTGGTAGGGATAGATGAATGTGTCAGTTTAGTTTTCCCTGGATTCTCATTGTTTTGCTTGGTATATTTGGTGTATTTTGACCTTTCAGAATTTCTCGATGTGTAAGTTAGGTTCATCCAACTTTGAGGATTTAGGATTTTATGAAAATTCATAAGCATTTTATTCATGTTGCTCCTAATACATGTGTTTTATTTGTATTTTGCCTAAAATACATTGTTCATGCAATTTTCCTCCTATAATACCTTTTAATATTTATTTTCCTTAACATACATATCTTTATATACCATTTTTAGACTGAGGAATGGCAAATGTTGAAGGATAATTTGGGATCCTAATTTTGCTTTGCATAGTGGTTCAAAAGTGTAATACTCAGCAAGTTCATATTAAAATGCAAACTGAAGTTCTCCTTCATCTCTGTATCAGGCAGTAGCCCCAGTAACAAAGGCAGCATGCAGTTGCTAGCTTTGAACAGGAATTGGGGCATTAATGGTGCTGGTGAAGGCTCCTTCCAGCCAACAGAAGCCACAGCAGCTCTCTCCTCCACTGGTCGTCTAGAGACAGAGAGAGGCCAAGAAGAGAAGGAGGTGTGGATCAGAGGCAGCCCACCATCTGGCATGCAGATCATGATCCAATCCCTCTTCCTGATGATTGCATAGAGAGGAAGACCTCCCTTTCCCCTTGAGATGATTGTGTGGTTTCATTTCATTTATATTGTGCTTTCGATCATGGATCTCAAGGTAATATATATATGGGTTTCATTTTCCATCTAGATACTGCCTAAATTCAGACTCACATAAGCTTAGCTTCAGCATGGTAGTTATACTAGGTTCTCATCAATCTAATCTAATCTAATCTAATCTAATCTAATCTAATCTAATCTAATCTAAGGGATACAGATTTTCCTACATCTCCCTCATCTCTATTTCACAGATTGTCAGGCCTTTTTTCCTTCAGTTGGCCACTCATTGTAGGAAAAAAAATACCTTCAGGCATGATGGGAATTCCCATGTGACTGGCCCAAAGTCATGCAGTGATTTCCATGGCTAAGTGGAGACTAGAACCCAGATCTCCTGAGCCCTAGTCTGGCACTTTTAACCACGACACTGCACTGGCTCTCAGAAGTGCAAGCCAAAACCTCTGGAAGGCTGCAAGGTGCCTCTCCCAGCCTTATTGCCTTTTTCCTTGTACGTCGCCTAGGGAAGAGACATACAAGGTGATGAACCTTTCTTCACCACCTACACTGGTATCATCTTATTTCCCAACCAGCCCTTTCACAGTTTCAGAATTGATTTCCACCTGTGTCTTCATGTGCAACCATGGGGTTCATTTGCCCCAGCATGCTCTGCAAAGTAAATGTTGGAACAGATAAAATATGTGAAATCAAAGGAATAATGAGGAGTAACACTTCCTCCATTCAAGGTGGTCCTTTTGAAGAGTCTGCATTCCTTTTACATACCTCAACAAGCCCTTGCAAGATTCTAACAAAGATGACACATCCATAATGCACTCGAGCTGCGGATGGTATTAGCATATTGAGTGTGGACGTCAAGAGGATAGCTGCGCCAAAGACCCTGTAAAAGGCAAAAGGCAAAAGGCAAATGGTTAAGGCACTGCTTAGACGATGCAAGAATTTTAGCATGCCATGAGGCCTATTTCAAGGGGAGGAGGCAACATGATTTCAGGGTCCCTGCTGGCATATTGAATGATCAGGGATTATGGACACTGTAGTCCAAAAAGTCTAGAGGGCACCAGAAAGTTATTTTAAAATCCTTCTGCATGGGCTAGGTCCATCTCTATATGGAAACAAGTATCTTCCCTAGAAAAGATGTTGCTTGATCCATATTTGCCAGAGGGTTCAGGGGAAACTGGGACAGTACTGGGTTTCCTTTGGATTAGAGTGCACTGCCATGGTATCTTTGTGATCATACTTTTAGTTACATGTCTACTCAGAAGAGCTTTGCCATATTCAGCGTGACTTACTCCATTAGTAAGTGTATTTAAGATTGCAGACTTACAAATATTCAAGCACAGCTTATTGGAAGCATGTAGACTTCTGAAATAGAGTAGTGGATGTATTTAAAATATGTTGGCTGTCTTTCAGGGCAGGAGCCTTTCTAAGCCAGCATTTATTATTTATTTAAAACATTTATATGCCACCTGGTTGTGCCACAGCACCTCTGGGCAGCATATAGCAAAGAAGCATAATAAAAATTGACGTGGCACTAAAAACAGCAATAGCAGCAAACATTCTAAGAAACATTAAACACCAGCATAAAATAAGACAGCCAATTGTAGCTCAATCCAGTCTGATAACAAAAGTTAGGGGAATGCTAGGGGAAAGTAGCAAGCTTTTAGTGCCCTCTTAAAAGCCTGCATTGAGGATACCTAGCAGAATTCCCAATGGCTACTTATTCCAGAGGTGTGGGGCCAGTGCGAAAAAGGCCTTTCTTGTGGGGATGCCCACCTAAGTGGTCTCATGGGCAGGGAGATAAGAAGGCTTTCTCTTACTGATCTCAGTGTTGACAGGCTGATACTGGTGAAGGTGGTCCTTCAAGTTATTTGGTCCTAAACCATTTAAGGCTTTAAAGGTCAGAAACAGCACTTTCAACTGGGCTTAGAGACACATTCATAACAAGCATGGTTGGCACAATATAGTTGTTATCTAAATGGATTGTCCCATACTAACCAATGGTTGGTGGCTATATTCTGTACCAACTGAAGTTTTTACACCATTTTCAAAGGCATCCCCATGTACAGTGCATTATAATAGTCCAGTATGGAAATGACTTGTATGTGGATAAGCATGGCAGGCTCCATTGCTTCCAAATATGACTACTGCTGACATTTCCACTTAAGGTGGTAAAATATACTTCTGGACAACACAGCCACCAGGGCTCCCCCAGCCAGTGCAGAAGCCAGGTGGACTCCAAGACTATGTACTTGGTCTTTCAGGAGTGCAGCCTCATCTAAGGTCAGTGATAAACCACCATCCAGGGTAGCTGCCTTCCTAGGTCATAGTACTCCGTCTTGGCTGGACCTTCTCATTCATTCCAAAACTGCCTCCAGACACTGGCTCATGAGTGTGACAGCCTCCCTGAGATATGTAGATGGAAACATGAGGCAGAGCTGAGTATCATCCCCATATTGATGACATTTCAACCCAACGTCCAGATGACTTCCTCCAGTAGCCTCACAGAGATATTAAAAAGCATGAGGGACAAGACAGAACCTTGTAGCACCCCACAAATTAATAGTATTGGGCTGGAGATGAAGCCTCCCTTTCTGAGATTGCTCCTCCAGGAATGATAAGAACCATTTTAAAGCTATACCACCAAAGCTCGATCAAGGTAAATGATCCAGAAGAATACCCTGGTTGCTGATATTAAGAGTTGCTGAGAGGTCCAAAAGAACAAATAGAGTTTTACTTCTTAATTCATCCTCCAATATAAGTTATCAGCCAGGGCATCTAAAGCTGTTTCTGTTCGTTAACCAGGTCTGACACTTGTTTGGAATGAGTCAAAATAATCAGTATCTGCCAATACCATTTGGAGCTGTGAGGGCACCACATGCCTGAACATTCTGTGCCTGAAAACTGCATATTTCAGACAGGGTGGTAGTTATCTGGAGCTATGCGATCAAGCCATGGGGACCTCACCATCACTCAAGAAGACATTTACAATGTCAACGGTCCAGGTACCCAGCCCAAGACAGGGTGGACAAGAATCTAAAGAGCAACTTGTGTCCTCATATGCATGTTGCGCAAAACAAAACCTAAGCTATCCTAGCCTTGTCCATCTCAGACCATGTCAAAACGATAGCATCCACATTGGCACAAAAAAGAGAGGCTTTCCCTAGCAAATTGCCCACATTGGATTCAATTTGTTGTGTTCTACTGCCTAATTCTGAGAGACCTTTAACCGCCTGAACTGAATTCCATTCAATGACACTGAATAAGTGGTGGAGAATTAAGATTTCTTTACCCCATCACTGTCATTAGCGCCACAAAATAAGATTGCAAATGGAGTCTTGTGCTCAGTCACCCTCATTACAAGTCTTTCAACACTGGCCATCTAGTTACATTTACATAGTTATTGATGGACAGCTTCTCTAAAACCCAACATGTTTGTCTTCTGCCTGCTCACAGCTTCCTCATAATTCAAAGTGCTAAACTTATTTTCTTACATAGTCACATACTTACAGACACCTGCATATCTCCCATCTTAGTGCTCAACCTCTGCAGATTGCTTATTCAGGAAACAATCTGTTAACCATTAAAATCCACTGATGAAACATCAGTCAACCATCCTGGACTATTATAAAGTAATCAGCTTAACAAAGGTTGGCTATTCAACAGTCATAAAAATACCACATACCACCACTGTATTTAAACACTCAATATATCATCATGATTCACTCATCATTTGAGAATTTGCAGCTGAATATGAGAATTGTCTCAAGTAAAGCAGATTATGTTTGCAGTGATGGAGGTAAGATAAAAGTATTATCTTCTGGGCTTGACCTCTGATATCAGATTCATATATGCAAGTAGTTAATTAAAGTTGTAGTCATTGTATAATGAAAAGACATGTGTGAACACACACTTAAAGAAGTGGATGGAGGAAAAGTAACATCAAAATTCACCTCAAAGGAATCCCTATCAACAAAGTTGGCTTTGAAACAGAAAGACGTGTGTCTAAAACCAATTTCCTACCATGAACTTCCTATATGACCTTGAACAGTTTCATCTACTTTGGCCACCTGCTGTTAGAGATAAATGAAATAAGGAAAATATGCTACCTCCAACAGGAAACATTAGTTGAAGAGTAATCAACATCAGCAACAACAAAGCCACTGTTACCTTGAAATAAAAATGTGGTTTGTTTTCATTTCTTTAAGAATAAGTCTGGAAATACAGGCATATTACAATTCACAGAGTATATTTCCAGTTCATGCTTTCCATGCATCTGTTTGCACATGCATGGAGAGAGTAATTCTTAAGCAGAAAATAGGATTGATTTTGTTTGAAAAGACAGACAAATGGCTTAAGGCAGCTGTACAGGAAAAGGTCACTTGGTCCATGGAGGATGCTCTACTGAGATGGGCCTCCACTTCACTCTTGCTATTAATACATCCTATCAAATCTTGTTCTATATAAACAATCTCTCTCTCTTTCTCTCTCGTGACTCTGGAGAGAGGAGGGGAGGGGAGAGAGAGAGAATGAAAGAGAGCGAGAAGAGAGCGAGCGAGCGAGCCTGAGAGTATGACAGAGTGCATATACCTATGTTTGACAGCTTTTCCTTGCAGGTTTCCTGTAATTTTTCCTCCCTGGATTAGCTATCCTGGCCTGAATTCAGTGTTTATTTTAACATATAGCTTGTATTTCCTGGATGATGAACTATAGCAAAAGCATGAGGGGCTCTTTTCCCAGCATTTATTTTTAATCCATTCACTCCTGCACATTTACAAAGTAATCCTATATGGTATAGGTCTACTCAGAAGTACAATCCTAAACAGGTCTACCATTAGAAGTCTTGACATAGATCAATGTTCATTTATCTTTGATGAGTATATCAATCCATGTATAATTTAGAAGACCTTCTCATGCTTAAACTTGTAGTTTTTAAAACTTTTTGTCCCAAAGGAATTGTTCCACTTTGACTTATCTGCTGAGGAAGTTAGACAGCTGGACAAGACATTTTAGGGAACACAATCCATTTGAACATGGGACAAGTCTAGCCATTTGGGCTTCATCTCCAACTGCACAGCCTAGAGCAAGCTCAACATTTGCTGCTAGCTGAATGTGACAGACAATTCATGATTGTTATTTTGAGAATGTTTTGATTTTCCATCATTTCTGGCCTTCTTTTTGGGAGATCACTAACAAACAGCTAAGAAATTCCATGGATCCCCAAAACACAGCTTGTAAAGCATTATGTTAAACAGTGGTCAGTCCACAATGAAGAATAGTTTCACATTTTCTGAGCTCAGAAAAAAACATCATGAGTTGCTATAGCTGGGCACCCACCAAGGAGCCAAAACCTAGAAGGGGCCCACTGACAAAAGCCCCTTGGATCTGCTTCTTCTTTTCACCATTGTATTCTCCTTGCTCGCTTGCCCTCCCTCCCTCCCTCCCCCAGTGGTGACTGTGTGATGGTGGAGACACCTCTGCCACAGCCTGCTTGATCACTGAATTTCTCTCTGGAAATGGTGCTAGCAAGGATGAGCAAGAGAATTTGGAGCTGGTGCCATCAGCTGGTGACAAGGCAGGCCCATTAAGGAAAGGGCCCCATTGAGGATGTCTTGCCAAGGGCTCTCCCGAAAGCACTTCTCATTTTGGAGAATCATCATGCAACCCAAGGCTCATCACCCACTGAGAAGAAAGAGGTGTTGTTCTTTCTATTACTGAATGGCACTGCTTGATTCTCAGCATCCTTCTCTGGATCTTTCAGTTCCTGGTGTCATTTCTGTCTGACTTAAGGAGACCAGAAATGGAAGTGTTTCACTGAAGAAGCATTTGATCATTTTCTGTTCTTCTCTGTCCTTTGATGGCACAGCCTGGTATATCATTCAC